CCCCTTATTTATAAGAATGGCTGCTGGAAAGAAGACCTTTAGTACTGTATGCCATTGTGCATCGGAGCAAGCCACATGAAGGTTGCAATAAAGATGATGGTATGCTGAAAACTTCAGTCTTCACCTCTGATGATTTCCTGCAGCCTAGCACCTGGTTTGTACATGTATTTAATTGTGTAAATAATGTCTGAGCCTGAACTATACTATGCATCAGCAATATTGTGCCACATCATGCTTTGTCATCATTCAGATGATATTTCAATTGTAATGCATAATAAGTCAATAATAAATGTATATGTATAATTGCTAACATGACGGTTATGGAGCTACACGTGTAGCTGTCGCCTGCTTTTCACCTCATGATCCATCTAGTAATATATTTGAATGGAATGGGCCCTTAATATTTAGCATTTTCTAGTAGAATTGAATGGTAATGATGATGCAATACTCAATTTTACATTTTTGTTCAATTTATTCCTTGTAGCCTAATCCAGGCTACATAATGCATGTAAAATTTTGTGTACTTTGAACCGTTGAAGATACTATTGGTACCACACTACTTGTCCTCATTTTAAAACTACTTTGGGACCACCAGGCCTGGAAATTGTTATACAGGTCTATACTGTGTCGTCATTGTACAATAATTGGGTTATGGGTCTGATGATACAGCATAATTGTATTTGATTTAGTTTTTTCTATAATCTTGCTTCACCTACCTATATTATAATATTATACCTGTATAGGATGAATTTTAAGCATGGAAAAAACATTTAGGCCTTATCAAGAATGTTTATTGAGTAGCAAAACTTTTGGTAAATAAATTAAACTGAAAATAATGCTTTGTTGAAAGTTTTATAAATTAAATCACTAATAGTGTAACTGCTTGCAATTGAAATCTCCATTATAACAGTTATGCCCAGAGTGCCTTGTCTATGGTAGTCATTGTGATTGTTTACTTGTACATGTATGGTCTCAGACGATTCCTCATGATTTATGCATTGAAGTTCCACAGTCATTAATCATGTAGTCTAAGTATTATTTGCTACATGGTATTATAATGTTTAGTAAAGCTGCATAATGCATGTTGTAATGTTACTATAGGTTCATAACACAAAATTATTCCCTTTTTAAAAATACATGTATCCATTGCCTCA